CCCCAAAACCCCAAAACCCCAAAACCCCAAGGATTTTGGGAAATAGATTGCTGGAAAATTGAAGATTTAAGCATCTATTGACAAAGTGAAGACTAATGCTTTAGAGACAACAATTGGCTTTGACAAAAAAATTTAGGAGTGGGTAAGTAGTCCTCAAACATTAACTTCTATTCAGAAACAGTAAGCTTATTTCAGATTGATATTCAAAAATCTAAAGAATACAATGAAACCAAGAGATTATCCTTATTTATGTTATATTCTGTCTCAAACTGTAGAAACTCCTAGATGCAAAAATGCTATCAAAATTTATTCCAGAAATAATAGTTCTCTTTGTGGACCCAATTGTTAACAATAGCTTTCGGTATGACTTCGTTGTGGTGTCTATATGAGTAGCTTTATTGCTTTTATTATTGACTCTCTTGACTTTAGAACTTGTCTTGAAATCGATACCATACTTGTCAAAGAAATCTTGCTTACGGAGAAGCCACTTGTCAGCATCTCCATTAACTAAGACTTTGCTTAGGAGAGTTCTATCATAGGCAGTCTTGTCTTCGTCAGAGAGAATGATGATTTCACCAGTGTAGTCTGACTGACGGAGTGTATCAGCTGCTGAGACTCCAGCATCCCCTCCTCCAACAATGACAACTCTATCTTTGCCTTATTCACCCCTTATACCCACTCAAACTCCTCTAAAATCCCCATAAACTTCACTATCTTCCTCCCATCTCTCCTATTCTACCCTCTCCAACCTAACCACACGTCCTACCTCTCAGTCCTTACTTCCCTTCCAAATCCCACAAGTCACACTGCTCTCAGCCAATTCTACCGTTATTGTCCTATCCCAGCCTTGTGCTACAAAGATGGGGTGGCGATCAAGTTTCTTCTAGTGATGAGTGGCTTGGTCTAGTTGTGAGGCTACTTGGAAATGAAAGGGAGGAGGAGGGAAGAGGGGGTTGAGAGGGGTGTTGAGTTAGGAGATTTTTGGGGGAATATGGGGATTTTTTGGATAAGTGTAGATTTTAGGGTGAGATTTAGGTATTTGGGGTGGGAATTTGTTGTTTGGGGTGGAGGGATTTATTTTGGAGGGTTGGGTTGATGTGCTTTCTGTGAAAATCAGGGATAAAGGTGGAATACAGGAGTGTAAATTTGAAGCAATTAAGTAATTAGATTAGAAGTGATATTCATAATGCTCATTGTAATAATTTTTATAATTTTTGACTGGTAAAATATTTTTGTAAATAAAAGTGTTTTTATCCCTTTACAAAAACTATCAGTAAATTCTCAATATAAATCCATAACAAAGATCCAAATAATTCAATTTTCCTTCTAAAAGCCAACCTATCATCCTCTATACCATATTCCCTTTCCAACAATACCTTAACCCCAAACTTGGACATTCTCACCCCATACCCCCACACCTCACTTCCATAACACAAACCCACCAAACCCTAATTTCATTATAAACCCACTCACCTTCCCCCCAATTTATCATCCACCCAAACCCCACCACCAAATCCCCCATCTCCACACCCCAAAATCACCAAGCTCTATAAATCCTCCCATTAAAACCCTACCCCTCCAACTAAAAAATATCTAAATAAATCTCACCCAGCTATTTCCAACCCCTCTCTTTTAAGCTATTTAAGAGAGATTGTAAAATTAGTGCTGGTTCTTTTGGTCTCTGTGTGGGCAGATTTTTAGAAATTTAGATATGTTTAGGAAGGGGTTGGGGGATTTTAGGGGTGGTAGGGGTTATTGGGATTTGGGGGATTTGGTAGTGTTGGGATATAGGGTGTTGGAATGAGGTGGGGGTGGAGTTTGGGATTAGATGGTGGGGGTTTGTTTTAAGTGGCTTGGGATGAGATCTGAGAGGGTTAGAGTAGAGGGGGTTACTTAGAGGTAATGTTGTTCTGGAGGGTTCGTTTCTTTTGAGATAGTGTTAGAGGTTTTTAGTAGTCGAATCAAGTTTGATAATTTAGGGGGTTTAAGATATTTAGAATATGAAAATTCGTTCTTAAATGTAAACGAAGGATTCATAACTATTCAGATTTTGTCCAAAATATTTGAATAAAATACTTTCATGTGCCAACCTAAATATTCTATTTTACGTTTTATATCTTTCATATTAACACTATACTTGATTTATTGTGTAAGAGCTAAAGTTTCAATAAAATTATGATTTTGTTGGATTTAGATACTTATCTAGAATTTTTACTTATCAGAAATTTCTACTTTCCAAAAAATTAGTTAGAGTGCTATCGTAATACCAAAATCTTCCTATAGAAATAATATTCGTCTAAACTAAATTGCCTGATTTTTATTCTAAAGGCATTGAAAAGAGGCTCGACCTGTAGAACTTAGTCTAAGACTTATTCCTTCCTTGCTTTGGCTATTCCAGCCATTAAACGCTTCTTTACAATTTATTACAAATCTCATTTCTAATTAAATCTCAAAAACTTGTCTTAAGTCTTTAGCTTCTTTGCTCATTAATATTTACTCTTCTAGTTGGGGTTCTCTTTCAGAGAACTTTCTCCAGATTTCTTAAAAATGTCAAAATCTGTATTTTAATCCACTAAATTTTGTGCTATAATTCTTGAAATTTTACTAGAGATTAAATTTATCTTAAATCTGAATTTAGGAAACAGGAGTCGCATAGTTCAGCAAGGGATTTAGAGAAGATAGGTGTTTTTCACCGTGGTCATTGAGGTACCCATTCTGAATTCTTAGGTCTGATAGCATAGCAGTTCCTACAGATCATCCCATTTGTGCTTGGACTGGAGCATTGAGGGCACTCCCAATACCCTCCCATGGCTGGATTGAAGTATTCTAAGGAGTTGATATTTTTGAGTGAGTGGTAAGCTTTATGTAGTTTTGAATTGAAGCGATAACAGTCCTGGCACACAAAGCTACTGTCAGGGTAAATTGTTTGTCAAAAGGGGCATTCGAAGTCAATTTTATCTTCAGAGCTAAATTTTTCAAGGATCTTCTGTTCAATTTTATCACTTTCTTGCTCATATTTTGATTTCTTTACACATAAATTTTCTGTTTCAGTATTATTGGCATCTTCCAAGCTCTCAAGCTGGTTCGGGATCTGAGAGAATCTGTCCAAAATTGGAGTCGGCCTTGATACTTGCTTCATGTGTTTTAATCGCATTTTTTCACTCTGGGAATGACTTCCTCTGTAATTCATCTTAGTAATGGGCTTTAAGCTTGAAAATGAACGGGTTTTGAAAATGGGCTGGCTGAACTGTATTTCTCTCTTTTGAGACGATTCTGAGAATTTATCTTCTAATATCATTTTAGAAGCATCATCTCCAGATCACAGCCCAGAGGATTCTTGGTCAGTGAGGAAGATATCCTGCTCAGTTTTCTGTTCTTCAGGGATTTCATTGAAAATGTCTAAGTATATTTCCTCCTGTGGAGGCTGGTAGCTTACCTGACTGGTTTTGCCTCAATAAGGACACTTGAACCATTCATTTCAAATGAATTTGACTAAGCAGGGGTCACAATAATTGTGCCGACAAGGATCGGATCTAATCCAAGTATTGCTATCAGTGAGGTATGATCAAAGGCTTCACTCCATTAATTTTACTCTAATTTGGTCTGAATATTGGAGACCTAATTTTGGAGTTTTTAATAATTTACCTTAAAGTTTAGCAAAGTAGTGAGTAATTTTCCGCTCTTAAGAAATTGTTCTCATCCATCAGCTTGTATAAAATAGCATAAAACACTTTTCCAATTCAAGCATTTAAAAAGATTTGGGGTTTTGGGGTTTTGGGGTTTTGGGGTTTTGGGGTTTTGGGG